CGCAACACCAGAATAGAAACAAGTGAGTTGCCGGCCTTTTAAAAAGGAATACCTACGCTCCTTTGTATTGTAACTTTCGTAAGAAATACTAAATAAATTATTATGCTATTACTGACAGTAGCAGCGCGACAATCGCCGCGTTGCGGGTCGCGGAATGCTGCTTATGAATATGAGCCTCTAGCATGGCTTGAAACTAGTCGAGTTCCTCGTCAAATTATTACGTGAGTAAGCCGAATACGCTCCTTCTTGAGAGTTTGAATGTCGTACCGGTTCGGAAATACCGCTGATGACAGATCATTCCACAGTTTAGATGTGCGAGGCAGAAAGCGAGGAGGCTAAATAAATGTCCAGTATGTGACATTTAACACTAAACCTATTTAAAGAAAAAAAGGCATAACACAAACATCTACCCACAGCTTCACAGAAGAAAATAAACAAGTCAAAAGGGCAAAGAAAAAGAAAAAATGTCAAATGTAAAGATCGATTGTTTAGCCAAACAATTAAAGAGTCAATGCACGTACGAAAGAAGGTGCCGTTTTGCGTGGTACGTACCTAATTTAAGAACTGGGACAGGGTAAAAATAATCCCTTATCGGGCTACGATAGTGTTGCTATGATTGTACTTGTAGAACTACCAAATCTGTGTGGATTGAAAGTGATTATAATGAGTAAAAAAAATCTAAAGCATTTTGACAATGTACAAATAAGCTGAATAGACTCCATTATGACTTCCAGATTGCTCGACTGAAAGCGAACACCCTTAACAATTTTAAATAATGTGTAAAATTTTGGATCTTCATTATATAAGTGGTAATTCATAAGTAGTGATTCTGTGATATAGTTAGAAGGCAAAGATAGGCAAACACAAACTTAGACAATCATTACAGACTATGTTTATCTAAAATGGTAATAAAAAACATAACATAGCTTATCGTCATGCATTTTATCCCCGAAGGGGTAGGCAGACGTGCATATTACGACACGTAATGCCACTATACAATGTAAGACGCACTTTTCATTATTTATCTTATGAGTCCCATGTAATAGGGGATGAGCCTATTGCTGTACCCGAAACAATTCCAGACTCCGTGCTACTACTAAGATTTTTTTTAAAAACCCAGTAATACTTTGCCCGACCCGGGAATCGGACCGGAGACCCCTTGCCCGGCAGTCGGACTTGCGATCACTCGGCCAACGAGGCAGTCTTTATTTTTTTTTAAGGGATGAAAACCATCGAATGACTGCTTCCGCCTGGGTGAGGTGGGTGGGAGTGTCAGACTCCTACTGACTAAAAATCACCACGTTCCTTCTCCTGCACGTCGAGCCGGAGTCCCGGTAAACCGTTAGGTTCTCCGCGACTCGTTAGGTTCAAAGTGACAAAAACTGGTTAAATATCTACCCAGTAACCATTATACCGGAATAAACCATTTGATCTTGAGAATAACAGCCTCTTAGAGTTTCCAATATTCTTAAGCAGGTTTTAATATTAATGTACCTTCTATTTTGAGCATATGGAAAGTGGCCCAATTCTCTAGGCATAATTTATAAAAAGGTACTTTACTTTCATCCGTAAGAAGGTATAAGAGATTAGTTGATTACTAATTAAAATAAGGTAATGAATTTGTCTAAAGTTGTTAGTAAGTAGGTGTAATCGTGTGTAATAAGTGTCTAATGAATTAGTTTGACTTTAATATAATATTAATGTGCGTAAAGCTTTCATTGCTGACTGGGTGAATGGTAGATCATTAAAATTTGCCATAATATGATCTTTAAGCACTAAGTTAGCGCAGCACTAAGAGCTAATGTGCTAAAGTTTCTTTAAGAAAATCCTCAGCAGTATCACGGAGCCTAGAATTATGCCTGGTATATGGACATTAGGCTCTAAGTGCCGTAGTGTGTACCTCTGCCTACCTCTTCGGGGATAATATACGTGATGTCATGTGTTTACTTGAGAACGAAAAACTAAGTATTTATGCGTTACGAAGTGGCTATAAATTTTTATAAATTTGTCCCTGTTACAATATTATTTTTTCCCCTTTTATTAATATATTAATAACAATGGTAATACAGTTTTGCACAGCCAAGGCTTCAAGGAACTTTTCCCTTAAGTAAACAGTTTTTACCCTAAACAGAAGTGATTTACTTTAAATATTATTTATGGGCTGTTATTAAAACGCCAACCACATGGCTCCCATGGTATTTGACACTATAAATCGTTAACTAAATGAGGATTTGTTGCATTCACAGCATGTAAAGTTGACTGGTGCAATATATCAGTGTCATTTCAGTCGGAAAAAATGTTCTAGATTTATTGAGTTCGTAATGTGTGTTGGTTTTTGTTAGTGTATTAAAATAAAGGTATTTTTTTATTGTACACTTAACTACCCCTTATCTGGTTTCTTATAAATATTTCCATCCAAAAGTTGTCTGGAAGAAATCACCATTGTGTGATAAGACCGCCCATTGTACGCATATTTGCTTGAATTGTTTGTTTTAAGCTACTTAAATGTGTACAATAAAGCATATATAAATAAATAAATATACTGTTGTACTCTCCGAACGGGTATGTAGAGGTGTAAATTTGTTTCTTTTTTTTTATACTACGACAGTGGCAATAAAAGCACACGGCCCACCTAATGGTAAATGGATACCGTGGCCTATGACCGCTTGCAACCGATAGGGTATTACATGCGTCTTGCCGACTCTTAAACTGTCAAACACCGCGAGGACACCAGTGAACGCAACCTATTGTTATTTAATTGTGTCTATAATGACGGTACTCAAAGGGTTAATAAACATATTTACTCCTTTCTTGAAGAACCTCATATTGTTATAGGCCACTGGGAAAACCTTACATGTGCAATTGTAACGCAAATTATGCATTATGAACACTAAACAGAGAATATTCTAATCTTACGATCGATTTTAATTTTTGCAGACTGTCTCATTGAATGACTGCTTGGTATAACATGAATTGGGATGATGACAGGATTGACAGGGTATAAAATTGAAAATATAATTTGTCCGTAAGTTAGGTAATGAAAAAATACTAACTACTACTACATGTATTTTTTTATTTTGTCGTATAATAAACCAATACTAAGATAACACGAATCTAAGTTTAGGAGTGGGGGCTAAAACGTCATTTCTACGTGTAAAATATACATAGAAGTGACGCCACGCAATATTTCAAATCAATATATCGTCGAAAGTATTTGTTTCTATAAGAAAATAAAAAATACGTGCCTTGATTTAAAAAAATCTACCAGACGGACATTAAAATAAAAATTAGGCATTTACCCTCTAAAAAAATGTCGTAGTGGCCCGGAGGTTTAAGACGCCCACTTCTCATGCATGAGGGTGCGGGTTCGAAACCTACCAACGGCAAGTACCAATGTGACTTTTTCCGAGTTATATGTACTTTCTAAGATTATTTAGACACCACTGACAAACGGTGAAGGAAAAACATCGTGAGGAAACCTGGACTTATAATTTCTAATTATAAGTTTGAAATCGCTAACCCGCATTGAGCAAGCGTGGTGATTAATGCTCTAACCTTCTCCGTGTGAGAAGAGGCTTTGCTCAGCAGTGGGCATTTATAGGCTGTTGATGATGATTTACCCTCTTATACCCAATGGCAATAATCTCGGTTCCATTACATGACAGTCATAGCATAATTGATAAAAAGCGTGTGTTACTTTATTCATGTTCAGTATGAGCAGCTCTGCCTACATGAAAAGCAGTGACATTATATTATTATAACTTAATTAAGAAATACTAAGTGTATGAAGTTCACCAAAACAATATCAAAGTACGTCATCGATTAGCTAAAACGGCACAGCTTTTTAGTACGTATCTATTCGAAAACTTAGAACTTCGGTAGTCAGAAACTCGCTTTAATGTTCATAGATGTTTTAATTACACCCTCGGCAGCTAGCTAATATCATTATTATCCTCAATGGAACGTGAACATAATGTGTTTTGTAAGAGTTTTAGTAAATAACTTTTAGCATTTGTCTCCTAAACGACTGAGGCGACATGTTTTTGGTAATGGTTTTAACTACATGTCTAGTATTTGGATAATTTTAGTCCGTGTTCCCTGAGGTGTTGTTACAGGGATGATGTGTGATCGTATCGTGTTGGAGGATGGTTATTTATGTCTATCTAGTACATGTTTCGGTGGTCTAGAGGTCATACGAGATAAACGGTTGATATCTTTTAGATTTTACGCTTTTGATACGTTGATTGGTTATTTGTTTAATTGCTTAATTACTCGAATCACGTGGATTATGTGGATTATTTATAGCTCGATCACGTTTGAATAGGAATAAAATAGTCTTTAAATTCAAATTTATGTTATACAGTTTTAAATCCTGTTTTAGACGTAACGTCGTGTTATTATTATATTAAATGTAGGAATTTTAAGACAATATGAACAAGGAAAAATCGATAGAGTATCGTTGACATTATTGGTGCTCGCAGACAACACTTTACGAAGCAATTCATTAGCTCGAAGCTTTTATTCGAAGGAAATTGCTAACGATTTACTTAGTAACTGATACCAAGCGAAGTAATTTCATTTGAGGACTGAAATGTGATCCTGTTAATTTAGCACTCTATGTTTTAGATTCGATCGCAATTATGACAGTGTATTTTGTTTCCTAAGTACTTACTCCAGGTATATTTTACGTTGTTTTCATTGTTGCTACAAGAGATGTGTTTTGTTATAAACAGAGGTCGTAGAAGCACTGGAAGAATTTGTATGAAATATTATGGCTACATTTACATTTTTTGCGACTATCATTTTACTTTAAAACCCAGTTAAACTTCATATAATTTCCAACCACTGAGGTTAAATTCTCAAAATCATTTAACATCAGCTATCCTGCCTCAGCTCAACCAATGTTCACAATAATATAAGGATCGTTTAGCTATCATTCTCGACTTAAAACTAAAGAGTATCACATTCCCTTAACAATAATATAAAGAAAACCAATTTACCTGTACACAGGATTATCATCTCGGTACCAGACTACGAGAAGTAGACTGTCGTTGTGCATTGGTGGTCTGATGTCACAGGGCATGTCTGCCTCGCCACCGACGATGGCGGGCACCCGCGTCACCGTCGCGGCTACTGGCGATGTTACCACCCCTGTGAAAGAAAAGATATATTTACGATGTATGTTGATAAAGGATTTTAAAAGTGAGTTAGGATTGTAAGGTAAAATCAACTGCTAAAAGTGTCATAGAATTATGACCTTCATTGTTAGAGTAATCAAAAATGATACTGATGAGGTGTAACTAAGGCAACTATAAACTTTTGATTCTTCACTACATTTATAACGTTACTAGGTATGTACATTTAAGTATAGGATAGCCATGCTTCGGCACGAATGGGCCGGCTCGACAGGAGTAATACTACGGCCTCATAGAAAACTAACGTGACGCTTGCGTTGCATTTCATCGTGGGATTGATCGCCTTTACATTTATTATATTAGTAAGATAATGAAAGCAGTTGCACTATAAGTATTTTTACTCCACATTCGCCTTGAAGTCACATCAGCCGTCACTTACTCAAGTACCTAAGTAGCGTGCACAGCATTGGAGAATCTCGGATGCAACCGAGTAGCATCGCTAAAACTTGATAGATTACTAGTCCGTGTACCATTGTGTCGGACGATGAAACATTGCGCTATCGGTTACAGCTTTGAATGATGATATAGATGCACAAGATGGTGACAATGATACCGTATAAGATATAGTCATATTTAATAGCAATAAATAATTAAATGTTTTGTGTTTATTGAAACATTTTATTCGTCATTTCACGATGGTGTAGACTAACTTTTACATTATTTAAAATATTCATCAATGTGTGAAATAAAAATATAATCATCAGCCAGTTTTTTTAGAAAAACAGCAGAGGATCTAAACGTTGTTTTTTCGTATGGGATAAATCGGTAAACAAGCAGACGGTTCACCTGATGGTAAGCAATCGGCGTCGCCCATAGACACCTGGAGCACCAGAAGCGTTACCGGCCTTTTAGGGATTAGGAATTTGAAGATTGTTGGGGATTATTCGGGGATTTGGGAAGGATGGGGGGAGGGGGTAGGTAATTGGGCCTACGGTAACCTCACACAAGACGAAACACATCAAGCGTTGTTTCACATTGGTTTTCTTTGAGGCCGTGGTAACACTCTGGTCGAGCCGGCCCATTCGTGCCGAAGCATGGCTCTCTCACACTTAGGCATGGCTCTTCCACATTTGAATGTAGTAGAATGTAGTTATTTCAGTAATAATTAGATATTGATGATATATATTTTTTTAACTTAAATCGACAAATTTTGGCTACTCTTAAACACTAGACAACTATTACGTAAACTCACTTTTCATATCACATAAATAACACCGTCATCAACCCTCAAACGTAACAAAGGAGTTTGACGATAAATATTACATAGATAAGAACGGAATACTAAAGAATACTTCCTCAGACAGACACCTACACAAAAACCTAGTACTTCAACAAAAGACTCGTAACAATGCAGACACTTAATATTCCTTTAACAAAAAACCTATTTTCATTACTGAATTTAGAGAACCTGATTTTTTGCTAGAAAAAACATCAAAAAAAAAACACTTTTGTTCAGAACAAAGAAAAGAAATGTTAGACTAAATCTTTGGTGGAGAGGCCGTGAGGGTGATTAGTAAGATTACTAAGCTCGTGATTTTGGATTTGATTCTCATGTCAGGTCTTTACTAAAGCAGTTTTTAATTTATATTATCCATAGAATCTGGTATATATCTATTAGGTAGTAAACCTATTAGACTTATTACTATACTAGCTGCGGCTTCACGCACGAAACAATTTAAGCAGTTGTTTTACCTCATCATCATCAATATCCTAGAAGAGGCCACTGCTGAGCTAAAGCCTCTTCTTTCACGGATAAGGTTTATGCATTAATCATCACGTTTGCTCGATGCGGGTTGGCGATTTCAAACTTATAATCAGAAATTATAAGTCCAGGTTTCTTCGTGATGTTTTCCTTCACTTTTTGCCAGTGGTGTCTAGATAATCTTAGAAAGTACGTATAACTCGGAAAAAGTCACATTGGTTCTTGCCGTTGATAGGTTTTGAAACCACACTCTCATGCATGAAAAGAGGGCGTCTAAAACCTCCGGGTCACCATGTTGTTTTGCTTAATTTGTGAAATATCATTTTTGAATTTATTTCCAAATTCTTTTGTTGCTATAACTAACAGATGAAAGTCTTATTACAATTATAATATAAGTACTCATATTAAAACAAACGAAAACACACATACCCCTCCAGATAATATATTTTCGAAAAAGTACGACTAAAACTAAGCAAACCAACTTGCTTTTGTTGGAAAAGTAACGAATTATACTGAACCGTTCACTGGTCAGTTCTGGACAAAGGCACCGGTTGGAAAAATATCATTTTCAACGGACCCCTCAGCCAATCCCCGTGTTTATCTACTTAAGGCCTTGTATGAAACAGTGTTACGTTGTAAGCGCGTAAAATCCCTTAACACGAAACCAAAATTCGGTTTAGGGTGTAAACGATAGCGGATAGAATTGGTGTTCTGGTATTTTTGTGTTCATGTATTTTCATTGTTAGATCTGTTCGATATTTGTGTCAATATAGCATTAATTTATTGTGATTTCATGAATATGAAGTTTTATTTGGAGAAACTTTATATGCGCTTTCGTTATTTTATCAAAACATTATGATCTAGTGACATCAAAATTTCTTGTTTTACTCGTTTGACAAATCATTTTTATTATTAAAAAAAATAGGTATATAATAAGGAATATGAGCCTCTAGCATGGCTTTAAACTAGTCGAGTTCCTCGTCCCGAAAACGTAATTAGTAAAAAAAAAACAGTGAGTAAATTAGAAAATAAAAAATATTTTCTATCATAGTGAAATCGATTTTTATATTAAAATATTATGAATGCGGACTAATAATGAAAAATAATAAGAAACATTTTTTTGTTGTTTATACATGCATTTTTATTACTACCTCCTGCAACTTACACCCCATCACACAAGGCTGAAAAACAAGAAAATGACATTCAGCGGTAGGTATGTTCCGAGCTCAACCGGACAATGTGGACGACACGCACACCTGCCAACTAAAACCTTTTTGGTATTCGGCACGGCGTAAATACAAGGGTAGACTGTAGGCTGGCTAACAAAAAACCTTAGTCGCTTCATGTTTTAATATAATGTAATAAGATTGTAATAGAGCTTTGTGATATATTATATTGTATGCTATTTTGAGAGAAAAATAGAAGCCGAAATATAAGAGAAACAGAGATGTGATTACAGATTTTGTGTTTTATAAGGTGCCTGATCGCATGATTTGAAAGTCTTTGGTTTAGGAATGGTTAACATTCGGCATAGATTATATTTTTTAGATATTAAAAGCATCCACACAGGAAAAAATATTGGTTACTTTTTAAAATTAGGTCCCTAAGTCGGTATATAAGATTAGCGTCATCAAGTATTAAAATATCATCTTTCTTTGTTGCGTTCTCTTTAATTGGTATGTCATTTGTAAAAAGATTTTCTAGATTAAATGACTCCCACAACATTCATTTTCTACAAAGATTTACAAAAAGTATTTTAATGGATATTCACCTTAATAAATACTACATTAAAGTCGAACTTTGAATATCAATCACCAGGTCAATAACTTATCTAGTTGGAATTTTGACCGCTACATTCATTTCATATTACTTCAAACGCCTAATAATATAACTTAAGCAAGTTCTAAGTTCTTGTGGTATACTTAGACTGTTAAGTGAAAGTTTCAACAAGTACTATTAAGTAGTATACTATTGTTGATCTACAAAATTGTATTTTGTAACTTTAGACTTCAATTATGATGACTATACTATTATGTCTGTAGTCTTCCCAAGGTCAAATATTGTGAACATAATAATTGTAATTGACTGCCTCGTTGGCCGAGTGTTCGCAAGTGCGACTGCCGAGAAAGGGGTCTCGGATTCTATTTCCGGGTCGAGCAAAGTATTATTGGGTTTTTTAAAAAAATCTCAGTAGTAGCACGGAGTCTGGAATTGTGCCCGGTATTTGTGCAATAAGCTCAACCTTCATTACTTGGCTCATAACATAAATATGAAGATGAATGAAGAGTGGGTGTTACATTGTACAGTAGCATTTAAGTGCCGTAATATGCACCTCACTCTGTCTACCCCTCCGATGTTGTAATAATTCTAATTTACACTGTATTAAGGATTAAGATAAAACGTTTGATATTACAAGTACTAAGAATACAAAGAAACTGTACTAAGAATTTACGAATTAAAGAAAACATACTAACCCTATTTGATCCAATAGAACTGAAGACCGTGTTTGAATACTATTTAAGTACCATATCTACCAGACGTTTGATATTGGCTTCGACAGAATAATGACAGCAACAATTTTACCTGCCATCCTAAATTAAAATTCACAACATCACTACAAACTTCTAACAATAAAGTTCTCAAAAACAAAACCAAACGAAATTGAAAGAATACAATTTTAAAGGGCACAAAAGAATTGCCTTTCCGTATTAACCCCGGAGTAACATCAACGATGCAATTCAGTGCAGTTTATTACCTATCCTCGACCGAACAATAGACCTCTCAGGTGACTCTTGCAGTTGGGAAAAACAAGCGATTCGTTGTTCTATTACTTTCATCAGTCGCAATATTGCATGTGACTGAACTAGCCCGATTTACGGATTATGAGTTTGCCGAAAGAAGCAAGAATTGAGGTTCAGATTTTCGCAAAATGTTTGTGTGGAAGTTGTTAATTGGGTCTTTTCATGGTCTCTTTGGGTCAGTGGTTGCGAAATTTTGTTTTTGTGATGATTTTGACCAGTTAAATTGCTTTGGTTTAGTTAGATCTTACAATAAGAAGGAAGCAATTGCAATTGCAGCAAAATAGTTTGGATACCTAAGTTCCAATATAATATACTAGCTTTTACCCGCGGCTTCGCTCGCGTCACAAAAGAAAAAAAAGTAGCCTATGTGTCATATACCAATACACACAGCGCCATCTATACTAATACTTTTGTTTTTCCTCGGAAATATCATTTTTTTCCGCGTTAAAAAGT